TGGAACCACTGCCCCCAGGGCTCCCTTGTCTATCGCCAAAGGAAGAAAAATCTTCATAAGCATTATTTGCTGACTATACGCCAAATACTTTTCTAAGCTCTTCGTAGCTATCAGTTTATGTCATCCTCGTTGTCAGTAGTCCTGTGAAATAGAACCATCATGACCCCCATTTTTCAGATGAAGAAATCAGGCATAGGCAGACTAAACAACTTGCCCATGGTCCCTCCATGTATAAGTGGACTCAAACCCAGGAATTATGAGTCTAGAACCCATGCTCTAAAAAGACTACAGATTGGGGGGGAGGCACCTAAAATAATGAGAGAACCCATGCATTCACTCTTTTGCAAAACTCTGCAAACATCATTTTGCTCTTGCCAAAGTTCCCCATCCATCAATTTAAAAGCCAGAACCTTACCATCTTCAATGATCTCACACCAACAATATCCACGAAAGACACAGCCCCACAATCAAGCACAAGGCTGTGGATCGGCACTTTGGGAACATTAACTTTGACCGGAAGATCAGAGTTCCAATCCACTTGAACCTCGATTTCCTTGGTTGGGATATCAAATTCCTCTGGATCTTCAATATCTTCATCAGGTTCAAAAGCACTGTTGGATGTGCCGGCGTCACTTATGATGCCGTTCTAAAGAAGGAAACATTGCCAACTTAATTACCAGTCCCATTCGGAATGTCTTTCAACAATTCATTTCTAATTATTCAAAAGGTCTACACACGAGTCTTTGATAAGCAAAACATCAAGGGGATGAACTCTCAAGGAATGAAGCTTATCTCAGTTCACCCTTTGATATGCTCTAGAAAGAGAGATGAGACAAAAAGAAAAACAATTCTGGAAGATCGTGAAAGATTAATAAATCCAATTTAATCTATTTCTCAAAAATTGTGGACCTTTGCCACAATACATTAGCAGGAAAGTCTGAATAAGAGGGAACGGTTCTCAAAGTTGATGAACTTTTGATACCAAGGACTCGATAGAAAGTAAATGTCTAGAAGAGAATGAAGGCAACGTGGGTGCAAACGGGGCTGATTCAACTGATGTATGGATCGTGATAAGAGTTGTACGAGCCTCCAATAAAATGACTTAAAAAAAGTTTATGAACTTTCTATCTTCTATTGTGAGAAACTTGCTGGCATAGAGCTAGCACTTAACCCAGGCCTCCCGGTCAAAGTCCATCTGAAACTGACAGCGGTGCCTCAAAAGATCAGCAAGGTTAAGGGGCCAAGAGTGTGTGAAGGAGGCCCGCCCTGACGACCGTAACCAGCGTCCTTCAGTTGTACATGTTGAATTGGTGGACATCCTATCGTACACCTTCAACGACTAGAATAAAATAAATGATTCTTCTAAATAAGGAAAACATTTTAAAACGATGCAAACCCTGTGATTTTTTAGATCATATTGTGTGTTTCCGGAGTTCAACTGGCTTCATTCTCCTTCCTCCCACCGCCTCGTGCACACAGACCGGGCCGCTCTCTACCGCACACAAGGCACCTGCGCACGCACATCCTGGCACTCAAGGAGGCAGATTTAATTTGAGACCATCTAGCTGAAAGAGAAAAAGAAAAACGGTGCCTTACCTTTGTTGCTCTTAATTGACCCTTTTTGATGAGTTTCTGTATTTTCTTCAGTGCTTTGAGCCTCTTGTTATATACTCGAACAGCATCAAATCCAACCTTTGGAAACAAATGCCACGTTACTTAAAATGTCTGGTTCTTAGTATTTGTTACTGGGAATTCTTAGCTGGAAAAGGCATTTCTCCAAGGCTATTATTCCTTGAGAGTCTCTGCCCCACCCCCAGAAAAACCAGAAATTCTGAGGTCTGATGGAGCAGACCCTTCCCTACTACCAGGAAACCCTACCTTTGCTATTCCCAGAAAATTACATTAGTATATTAAAGAGTCTACTCCAAACTAAAACCAAACTCACCAGCTTCTGCAGAAGCCAACTCTGAGCCACCCTCTAGGACAGGCAGAATTACCCCTGTGGATATAACATCTGGGGTCTTAAAAGCTAGAAGGTAAACAAGCAGCCATCTAGCTCAGAAGCAACAAAGCCCACATGGAAGAACACATCAGCCTGTGTGATCACGAGGTGCCAAAAGGATCAGCTATCAGGCATCAAAGAACAAAAAATCATATCATTGTGTGCTCACCT